TGCCAACTTTTTTTGTCCATACTTTGTGACGCAAATCTCGCAATTTCGGTCAGGTTTAGCATATGGTTCCAAAAGATTTTTTTGGACCATGTGGGCTGCTTCCCAATTTTTGTACCTCTAAACTTATAACATGAAATGCTTTGTTAACAATTTTTAGGGGGCGTAGCGGTTGCTGCTTGGACCCTAAATGACCTTGTTGCGGAAGCAAGAATTAAAAAGCAAGCCACCAAAATTTCGAAGGGACTGCTGACTCCATCTGATGAAGTGATTACATGCTCATGTTTTTCCCTTTTTATCCTTCCATCAGGATGCCATTTGTATGATGATCAGACAAGCTAACAACCATCTGGAGGAGCTTCAGAGGTCCCTGGCATTGGCTACGAATTAAACACAGAAAACTACTGAGGATAATTCTTCTGGACATTCTGACAAATTGGAACAGATTGAAATTGGTGTTTATACTCCTTGGGTTGACTGAACATGACTTGAGGTTGATTAAACTACTGTATTTTCTTACCTAGAAGGCACTTCAGATTATAATGCGCACGTTCAATGAATGGCCTATTTTAAAATTATTGTTATATACAGGGCGCACTGCATTATAAGGCGCATAGAATAGAAGCTACAATAGTGGCTGCGGTGGCGCTATGCATCCACTAGATGGTGCTACGCCAAAGGGACTACAATACAATAAACTCCAGCTTTATTTATATAGAACCTTCACAACCGCTGCAGCTGGAATAAAGCTGTGAGAACAAACACGGACTTGAAACATGTAAATACAGTTGGCATGACAAAACAACGCACTTGCTAAAAGTGGAATCCTCGACCATACTATTCTGTGCAATCTCTCTACATCAGGAGTCAGCAACAGAGAGCCCAACCAGGTCGCCCTCAAAATGAGTAGCCTGCGAGCCTGTGCCAAAAATAGCTCACCAGTGTCGGTGCATTGTGATATTCTAGGAATGTTGTATATGAAAATGGAAACAATGGAAGAGATTTCTAGAAATAAAGTGTTGCATATTGGTATTTGTTTCCTAATTCTTGTGAAAAATCATGAACGTGATTACAGTAGTGTCTTCACATAAATTGTCATTATTTCAGTCATCAATCTTTTTAGAATTGATGATCCTATCCATTATTCTTGTCCAGGGAAGCCAAGATAAGTATAATAAAAAAATGATGAGATTTATTCGAGAAAGGGGAAAAAAAAACATGGAGGGACACCATTCACAGATCTGTCAAGAGAGTCTTCTCCCCCTCCGCGTCTTGCGCTCTCATTTTCTATTGTTGGGAGGTTGTGAAGGTCAGCTCAATCAGCATTTTGAGCAGCTACACAGAGTGCAGACTAGTGTGCACAAGCAGGCAACTTTGCTTATCCGCAAAATAACTGGTCAGCATTCAATAGTATGAACACTTACTTCCATTTAGCTCTGTTATATGTCAAATTCCCATTACATATTGTTCCAGCGATTACTCAGAATAATCGCACCGGTCCGTTTCAAGGCAGAAACTCACACTTTTCGAAAACATGCATGGAAGGTTGATTGAATGCTCTAAATCAGGGGTGTCAAACTCATTTCACATTGTGGGCCACATACGGCCTCGGTAGATGTCAAGTGGGCCGGACCATTAAAATTATACCATACTCTGTTATAAATAACCAAAATAACATGTCTTTGTTTTGGTCTAAAGAAGCACAAGAACATTAGGGAAATGTTAAAATTTAATGAAACATATCTTTTACAAAACTTTTCATGAAGCACCTTAGATTTCCTTTGACAAATGAGCGAGTCACTTTTATCTTTCACATATACAGTGTACATTGGAACTGATCCCCCTGATTGTACAAAGGCACAAAACAAATAATTGATATTGAAAAATACAGTAATGCATTTTAAGATTAAATGAGATTCATAAAGAAAGGAATGTTTAAACCGGGGGTCGGCAACATGCGGCTCCAGAGCCGCATGCGGGTCTTTAGCGACATCTCGTGGCTCCCTGGAGCTTTATAAAAAATGTCTAAAAATGAAAAAAAGATTTTTGATAGGCTAATATAGCTCAAATAGATATAGATACATGTTGCAGCTCCGAAAAAGGAGAGCTGTGGTGTTGTTTTTTTTTTAAAACATACACTTTATATATGCTTTTAACAGTCTCGACAAACACAGACACGTCTACTTCTGACTCCGTGCCTCTCTCTTCTCTTCAACTCGAGAGGCGTTCAAAAACAGCCTCCGAAAAACGGAAATCCACGATCACTTGACTGACACGAAGAAAAGCGAAAATGATGCACCAAAACAAAAAATAAAGTGAGGAAATCACAAAATAAATTCTTTGGAGGCGTTTGTGAACACACAACAAAGGAATGAATAACAAACAATTCTGAGACAATAGAGTCTCCTACATACATACAGCATGTGTTTCCTTCATTGTAAGTTTTATAGAAGGCTTTTATTTTTTTGCGGCTCCAGACATATTTGTTTTTTGGGTTTTTTTGTCCTATACGGCTCTTTCAACATTTTGGGTTGCTGACCCCTGGTTTAAACCATTTACACATGCATATAAAATCTAAATTTAATCCGTGCCTACACCTTACAAACTAAGGAGAATGCTATTAAATGTGTAAAGAACAAAGTCTTTACATGTCCTTGATAGCGTCTGCGGTGTTGGGTCTGTCTCAGTGACAGACTGAGACTGCTGTTGTCTTCTTCTCTGATCAAAACAATGTTGTCTTATCCTCTGATAAAAACAGTGTGTCCCCGAGCGGATACTCCATGAATTGCACCTTATTAAAAATATTCATTCCATGTCTTTTATACATTTTTTTCACTTTTAAATGATCCTGCGGGCCTGATCGAACCTCCTTGGGGGCCGGTTCCGGCCCGCGGGACATATGTTTGACACCTCTGCTCTAGAACTTGTATGTACACTTTCAGCCTTAATGGCACCTTCACAGATGTGTAAATTACCCATGCCATTGGAACTAACCCAGCCCCATACCATCGCAAAGGCTGGCTTTTGAGCCGAGCGTCCAGAACAGTCTAGATCAGTGGTGTCAAACATAGGGCCCGCGGGCCGGATCCGGCCCCCAAGGAGGTTCGATCAGGCCTGCAGGATAATTTAAAAGTGAAAAAATACATAAATGACACGGAATGAACATTTTTAATAAGCTGCAGTTTGTGGATCATCCGCTAGGGGGAACACTGTTTTGATCAGAGAAGAAGACAACAGCAGTCCCAGTCGGTCACTGAGACAGACCCAACACAGCAGTAAAAGCCAGTTACCTAATTGCTAGCGAAATAGCATTAGCATCAAAGCCGTATTCCGACGGTGACTTTGTTCAATGATGCATGATGAAGGCGGCTGAACTTGTTTGTCTCGAGAGGCGACAAGCTTTTGCCAACAACACAAATACATGATATTCTGGTTATATATCATTTTAATGGTCCGGCCCACTTGACATCCACCGAGGCCGTATGTGGCCCACAATGTCAAATGAGTATGACACCCCTGTTCTAGAAAAACGTATGCTGCCATCCAAGCAAGGTCTTTTTCATGCATGCCCTACTTATTTCAGCAACACAACGCTAAAGCGCATTCTGTACTTTATTACAACAGCGTGGCTTCGTATTAAAAGGCTGCAGGTACTAGACTGGCCTTCCTGCAGTCCAGACCTGTAATCCCATTGAAAAGACCCCGGACTGTTGAACAGCTGAAGCTGTACATCAAACAAGAATGGGAAAGAATTCCACAGATAAAGCTTCAACAATGAACGCCCTCAGTTCCCAAAGGTTTATTGAATGTTGTTAAAAGAAAGGGTGATGCAACACTGGTAAATATGATTCAGTGCCAGCTTTTTTTTTTGGAACGCGTTCCAGCCCAAGACCTACAAATAAGTCTCTTGTAGCCATCTGCTCGGACTAACAGGAAGTCCGTCATTTTGAATTTTCTTTCACGTTTTACTTTTATAGAAGTCACATTTAAGAAAAAAAATCTCTTCCAAGAGATTTGAATAAACTTTGCAGTTTTGTTGTATGAGGCGTACATGAAAATGCAAAATACCAATTCAGCTCAGGTTTGACATTTTTGAATGTGCTGTAAATCAGCATCTCCAAATCTGAAACAACGGTCCTCAGGTGGAAAAGGGTGGAGTGCCCTCTCCGGGTCGGGGAGATCTTGCCCCAAGTGGAGGAGTTTCAGTATCTTGGGGTCTTGTTCACGAGTGAGGGCAGGAGGGAGCGAGAGATCGACAGGCGGATCGGTGCAGCGTCTGCTGTGATGCAGACTTTGTACCGGTCTGTCTTGGTGAAGAAGGAGCTGAGCCAAAAGGTGAATCTCTCTATTTAATAATAATAATAATAATACATTTCATTTATAAGCGCCTTTCAAAACACTCAAGGACACTTTACAATCAAAACAAGAACAATAAAACCACAGATAAAATTATAAATTATAAAAGGAGAGATGAATACCGGTTGATCCACGTTCGTACTCTCATCTATAGCCACGAGCAACGGGTCGTGACCGAATGAACGAGATCCCGGATAAATGTGGCCGAAATGAGTTATCTCCGCAGGCTCTCCCTTAAAGATAAGGTGAGAAACTCGACCATCCGGGAGGGGATTAGAGTCGAGCCGCTTTTCCTCCGCAGCAAGAGGAGCCAGATGAGGTAGCTTAGGCATCCTGGACGCCTCCGTGGTGAGGTGAGGCAGGAGGCCCCGGGGACGACCCAGGACACGATGGAGAGACTATGTTCTCCTAGTTGGCCTGTGAACGCCTTGGGATCCCCCGGGAAGAGCTCGAAGAAGTGGCTGGGGAGAGGGAAGTCTGGGCTTCCCTGATAAAGCGGATGCCCCCGTGACCTGACCTTGGATCAGCGGTAGAAAACGGATGGATGGATGGATGTATACTGTCCATTTTCTGTGTGCTGAGAGAATGATAAGCAAGATGCAAATGCACACACGTCCTACAAAGAGGGAACATTGACCACCAGTAGTTTATTTTACAAATCTTTTATTTCAGTCCAGTATCAGTTGTCCTCAATTTTCTAACACCCTAATACAAGGTACCGGTATATATATTTTTTTTGCATGCATCCTCTGGAACAAATCAAACAAAGGGGACACATTTGTAAACCGTGGTGAAGATGACCATTGACGTGTTGTGACAATTGTGTAAAATACATCACAACAGTCTTTGTAAAATTTTGATCAAACCCAAGTGAAGAACCATTGCTCTCGCAATTAAAACTCTTTTTTTTATTTAAATCATTCATATCATGATTGAAACACATACTGTATGAAAGAAAAAAAAAGCAGTAATTTACATTTCAGTTGAGCAAAACCTACTGCTCAATGGGTTTAGCTCACAATTTAGCACAAAGGGTGTGGTTGAGTTTAAATAACAGAACCGTATTCAAAAACTAAAAAAATATGAATTAGCAGCTATGCGCCAACTGTCATTTCCCTCCAATTCTAACAGCTGTGACTGCACACACAGCTCAGAGGAGCACTGAGCCATGCCATTTATTTTCCCAAAGGCACACTTTTAAGTTTCCAAAATCCACATGCTATCGTTAAGTGTTTTGCTTGTGGTGGGCCACTGACAAACCAAATCGCACAGCTTGAACTGTATGTTCACAATGAACGTTCATTATTCTCTTCACTGAAATAATACACAAAAATCAAATACAGCACATGATTTCAACAAGGTGAAAAAAAAAATTGTTACATTTCTACTTCATAACCAACTTGCAAGTTTGGGCAATCATGATTCATTTGAAAATGAAATAGAACACCCCGTAACAAAAAAAAAAAAAAAATTAAAAAAAAAAAAAAAAAGACAATGTTATCTACAGAACGATTTGATAATTGTGACACGGCATATAAGAAAATACACATTTATAGCAGCAAGTCTTTTTTTCTCTTTGAAGTCATGAATGAGCAATACAGTTTGATTTCTTTCATTAAAAATGTCACCTTGGGGGGGGGGGGGGGGACCCTCACTGGTCGGCAGTTGTGACAAGTTCAAACCACTGCCTTAGTGCATCACTCAGAGTCTCTGGCAAAGCATTGACATCTCGCAGGATGACGTAGAAGGGGAATGGAAACTCCTCCATATAGGAGCGGATCTCCGGGAGTTCCCCTGGCCCTTTAAAGAGTGGCACCTTGATGTCCAGGATGGAGTCCTGCAATTGAGCACCACAAAAAGCATCAATGCACATTGTGTCGTGTGCTAATGAATAAGTTCTTTTTTTTTGTGTGTGTGTGGATAAATTGCAAGCGATGATACAATCCTAAAATTATTGCGACTTGATCAAGGCTCGAAAAGACTTTTTTTTTCTTTGAGAGGCATTTTTATTTGTATTTTTTTGCAAATCAATGACATCATTGGAGGAGCAATTTTGTTGTTGGTTCATCCCGGTCACAAGGTTTGAGTGACAAATATGACAATATAACAGGGGAGATGTAGAGATGCAGTGATTGAATATTTTACTATTTGAGTATACAACTGAAAACTACATTGAATAATCAATTATTTGGATAAATATATTTTTACTTGATTATGGGCAATTTTATATAAGATAAGGAAACCTTTTTCTCACAATGGAGAAATTCTCAATTTATAGCAGCAAAATTACGAAAGGGAAAAGTAGAAGAACAAAAAGTATATCAATAAATATAAATTATAAATATAAATGTAAGCATATTAAAAATATGCTTCTATAAATAAATAACAATAAAATACGAAAGGGAAAATACAACATCTTAATAACCAAGGACCAATTGGTTTCATTTAAAAAAAAAAAAATCTACAGTTCCTATTTCTTAACATCATACCATAGTTATTCCAAACTATTTTCTTCTGTAGAAACTAGACTACGTGAACCATGTTTTTTGGAGTAAGCCCCCCACTATCCCCCCAAAAAATAAATTAAAAACATCAACTAAAAAAAAAACCCAACACTTGATCAGTGATTCGATCAGAAGATGGAGCAAGGCAGATATCTAATACGTATATCTAAACTATTTGCGTATTAACAGTTGAACCCCATAGCGAAAATGAACTAGAAAAAATTGAACCCCCCCCCCAAAATATTTCAAGAACAAAGACATAAAATTGGGGGTAGTTGCCGAATTGTATTGGTCAATTTCTATTTTCACCCAACCCTCGCCTCACTGTTCTAATACTTTTGGAGGGTAAATACTGTCGACATAGAGAGGGCATAGTACTATGATAAGAGTGGAACATAATAATTCCATTCACCTCAATATGAGTGTTTTGAGTTACGAGCATGATCATGGATCATATTTAGCTCGTATCTCAAAGAACCAATCCAGTATATTCAGAAATAGCCAGACCAAACCACAACATAAATCTGTGTAACTACTGTGTAAGGAAAAAAAAATATACACACAAAAGGAATATCAACCAAAACAAAAACATTTACCCGGGAGTTGGGATTGTCAAGTACCACAAAGATCAGGAACACATTTGCGCTGCGGGCTGCCTGCACCGCTGCCATCACTCGCTGATTTCCTTCTAGGAACAATCCCCTGCCATCTGATACGATGATCAGTAGCTGGGCCGTCTCTGTGAGGAGGACAGCAGCGCAATGTAATTCAAGGCACAAAATACAAGGGACACCATGATGAAAAGCACAGATTTTTGTTACGTGATGAGTGAAAGGGGGTTGGGGGGGGGTGCATTCAATAAGGAAAAATAAAGGTCCTCCCAGTACTCCCCTTATTCAACTGTTGAAAGGTAAATTAGGTGGTGGGTAACATCAGATAATTACATAAGCACACTGTTCTCTCACTTATTGCGGTTAATGAGGACCGGGACACTGCCACGATCAGTGAAAAACCACAATGGAGCGTTGGCTTCCCCCCCACCCCGAGGAATTTTCGTGGAAGTGTATGCGGGTACCAGCATGTTTAAAATATGTAAACGGCATTTATACTTTACATATCTGAGACAAAGACTACAGCAATACACGTATTGACTTAAATATTTAATTGTAAAACCTTACACAGTAATTAACATTCATCGGCATTGCCTTCTGAGAGAGACAATGGGACTTGTGTAACTCTCACTTTACGCCGCTCTGACAGTGTTGCTGCGGTTAGGCTCCAGCTAGCTGCTTGCCAGCTATCCCCGCGCAGCCGATGCGTTTATGATAAGACAATTAATCAGTATTGATGAGGAACCGAAGAGAGACGTGCTGCTTTTTTCGGACAAGCCCAATCACCCCTTCACTATCTCTCTCGCTTGCGCATACTTTCGCTTTCACGATCTCTCTCTCTCGCTCTACCCCCCCACCCCTACTGCGCATGTAGCAAACACAACAGCGTGACGAGACACTGATCAGAGAGTCCACAGCTGACGAGATACTGATCAGAGAGTCCACAGCTGACGAGACACTGATCAGAGAGTCCACAGCTGACGAGATACTGATCAGAGTCAACAGCCTAACTAGACACTGATCGAGAGTCAATCGCGTGATGAGACACTGATCAGGGTCAACAGCGTGACGAGACATGTCTAAATGACGCATATGCCAAATAAACTGTCACCGGAGGTAGGGGGAAAAAAATTACAAATACAGCGATCCCTCGCTATTTCGTGGTTCGTTTATTGCGGCTTCAGTTGCATCGCGGATTTTTTCAAACATATTCATTAAAAAAAATAAAAAAAAATAAAAAAATATCATATACATGGAGTACAGTACTGTATATTTTGCTCTATGTGACTCGCTGTTGTTTTGCAGCTTCTCGCGGACTGTTTGCGGACTTTTTGCGGAATATGTTTATTGGTCGCCACTTCGCGGATTTTCGTTTATCGCGGGTGGTTTTGGTCCCCATTAACCACGATAAACGAGGGATTACTGTATATATTTTTTAGTTTGAGGTATCCGAATTACTGAAGCAGTCATATGCGTTTCACAAAGTGAAATAGAACCAGAACAAGAGCGTGTACTGTGGGTACATGCAAATTTCTGGTATGACAGCTAAGCTAGGCTCCGGTTCCCTCTGAGGCTTTTTTTAAAAGAAGGCAAGCGGAATAGAAAATTGATGGACGGATGGATGGCTGTGTGAGAAATCACCTGAATTTGTCGATCGAAAGATCTGTTTTCGTGCTGCAAGAAACATCTTGGTGGCACTCTCTAGGAACTGCACAGGAGGCACAAAATAAATACATAGTCAATGAAATATGCATACTGAATGACTGAAATATAAAAAAGAAGCAATATTTTTATTTGAGCAGGTATCTGAAAAATTGATATTTCAATATCGATCCTCAGATCACTAATAGCGATGCAATAGTCACCATATTTTAGAAGCACATGTATAAAAGTATAGAAGACAGTTCTACACCAAAGCAAATAGGAAAGTATAATAACTGAAATGAACATAATGATGACTCTAATAATAATAATCATAGAAATAGTTATACTACTACTTCAACTAAGAATAACTACAAACTACTATGAATAATAATAAGAATGATTATAGTGATGGTCAATGTTCCCGCTAATTTTGCATGCGTCTGAGCATTCGCACAAACTCCCTGAGCATTCCTTGGGCCGCGGTCAGCAACATGAGACATGCGCACGTGGCCAGGGCAGTATCACACCTGTCCTAAACCTATACATGACATGATGTAGCTATGCCCCCTCCCCCTCCCCAAAAAATAACGAAAAAACAAAGCACTTATATATCAAAGAAGAGCATATCACTGAAATGAATACAATTAGCCCTGGTTTGTAAGAACTGGATGAGGATTTATGCAAAGTTTTATGTTGTGAATCGGCCCAAGTTGAACTGTCCAGTCATCGATGTAAGTAACTGGGAAGTTTTTTACATAATTCTTAATAAATTTTGGCTTTGATATTTGCTTTCTAAATATCAAAACTATGATCAAGTGGAGAATGACAGAAGTGACGCTTTTCATCACAATGAGTATGAAGTGGATGAAAAGGTAAACTAAATGTTGAGTGTTATTACTAATTATAGTAATTGTTGAAATGCTTCACTTGTTAATCTTCAAGAAGTTTTTTGAATAAATAGGACACATTTCTAAAAAGCATACTTTTTAAATAATGCTAAATATTAATACAATGGTACATCTGCTTACGAAGTTAATTGGTTTGGGAAGAAATTTCTTAACTAGAAAATTTTGTAAGTCGAGACGCTTTTTCCATGTAAATGCCCTAATCCGTTCCAAGCCCCCCAAAATTCAGACATAAATGTTTTCTAAAGCATAAAAATGCATCAAAATATGTAACAATGCATGTTACAATTACATTATTGCACAATAAATGAGAGTTGTGCATAATGTAAACAAACAAACAGAACAAAGAATAAAAATGATGGTCATTTAACTTAAATGCGTCCTCATCGTTTTTTTGCCCTCTTTAGTTCATGTTCTCTCTCAGAAATGGCTTTTGCCTGGCGTATTGCTTTTGTCGGCTTTTTAACAATCCTTAGAAAATGTCCAAGGCAAACATCAGCATAGTGAGCGATTGCCCGACTGGTGAACACTTTTTCTGGGTGATTCACATTTACGTAAAACTATCGGAACGCCTCATGCCCTGAGGGGCGAATGACGAGGATGCTGCAGAGACACATATTTATCTATCTACACACAAAGACATGTACGGTCGAGGTGCCTCTTTGCCAATGGGATGCCAGGATGATGTTCGGTAATAGTCAATGGCAGACCAGCTAGAAGTATGTTGCGTTCAGGAAACTTGGAGCTGAGAGTTGCAGGCCATACTGTATTTTTATCTTTCGTATCTTGAAATTTATATCGTAACAAGAGGCAATATTTACCTGTTGAGGCGTTTCGTAACTTGAAAATTTCGTATGAAGAGACGTTCGTAAGTAGAGGTACCACTGTATTCAAAATCTCAAAAATATAAGACCAGGACAAAGTGTGTTAAATTTCCTAACTCAGTGTAGCGTATTTGGTTCATTATTGTGCATCCCACATGGACCACCATGCCAATTTTTTTTACGCACATTTGCTGTGCGATGAGAGTGAAAGCAGCACGCAATTGCTTACTTTGAGCGAACGATGGTGATGATGATGATAAATCAATTTTTTATTGGGCTTTATCAAAACTCAAAGAGACTTACCACAGCGTAAATATATTGTAAACTCTCTGAGAGTGTCTAAAGTATTGACTCGCTTGATCATTTTTATGATGACAGTTACTTTAACAGTAAATTCATATTTCAACATCTCCAATATTTTACCTAGTAAGCAGAAAGCACAAGCATGATTCCCACCTGAGCTATTCGTGTCTTCTTCTGCTGGAATGTACACAATCGGAGGATCCGAGCTCCAGAATCATCATTGAATTGCTGCTGGAATGGGTGCAGAAGCTGCACCTGCTCACCAAAACTATATAGGGAACAAAGCAAGACTATATTACATTCACATGCAATACATGCACAAAGGTTTGTGGAATCTCTCCTTGGAGTTAATTCATTTTATGGTTTGTTGGTCTAGGTCTGCTCCACCCAAGTTAAATTCCGGGTAGGTATCGTGCTATTTTTTTTTATTGGTGATATGTATTTATTTATTTCTTCATCTATTCATTTATGAGTATTATGAATTCTTTAATCCTGCTAAAAAACAACAACTTCATGTACAAGGAAATGCCGATACCTGTAAACGGATACTTGTCCAACTTCCAGCAGAGTGAGAGCATTGACAATCACTGACAGGGATTCAAACGCCAGCTGGAACACAGCAGTGCACGTCAGGAAAGAAAAAAAAAAGTGGCAATGATCAGTGATCGCTCTCACACACATAGACACACACGCATGCACACACGTGATTGTGTATGATGTATTATACAGTATACATTTAATATTGATATGTACCTCGCTTTCTCGACATATGTAGATATGTATATGTGCACATCTATCCATCCATTTTCTCACACACACACACACACACACACACACACACACACACACACACACACGCACACGCACACGCACACGCACACGCACACGCACAGAGAGCCTGTAACTCTCTTTATATTCCCCATTGAGTTGTTTCCCTGTTAGTGTTCCGATGCCATCTAGTGGTGATTATTAGCAGGAACCAATTGTAACGTAAAAGGGTTCGGCCGGACACTAATAGACATGTGCGTTCGCCAACACACACTCAAACAAACAATTTGTCAGCTCTGAGCAGCCGTTATGAAAAAAGGAGAAGACCAAAAGCATCGTTAACTACTGACTAAAAGAATGAAGAAGGAGACATGCAAGACTTCTAAGGATATTTAGCCCCTTGTGGATGTGAGCCCAGGAGGTTTTCTGTGCTTTTTTTGTTGAATCAATTGTCTTCATAACTGTTGTCTTTCATTTATTGTTTCGTAATGCCACTTGTGTTTATATGTTTCATGTCTGTGTTTGTGACCGGTTCTCATTGTTACAGCTGCAGCAGTTGTGAAATAAAGTTGTATTGTTTTGTATTCCTTTAGTGTAGCTCTATCTAGTGGATGCACACCACCGCAACCCCTATTATATGTGCCCTATATATGAAAACATTTCTAAAATAGGCCATTCACTGAAGGTGCGCCTTATAATCTATAGTGCAGAAAATACGGTAAGTGACCTGATATCAGCAGTCTTTTATGCTTGATGTGCGGGCCCTTTGCACTGTATTTATGAAATGATTCCACCTGATCGAAGTGTGGACTGGGCCGGATGTTGCCAAGAACTTGACACACATAATGCAAACAGCACAGTGCTGATATGTTGCTGTGTATCATGCAACGGATAAAGGGATACAATTTTAATTCCAACAAGTGACCTATTGGAAATGAATACTGTACTTAAATTAAGACCACAACAAATCAAGTAAAAACTGGTTCTGTCTTAAAATGTTATGTGGAACACAAAAAGAATCTGCAATCAGCAAAACTTCCTTTCAATTGAGCAGACAGGTATAAAATTACAAGACAATATAGATCAACCATAGTTGATGAGCTGTTTTGGGAAGACGTTCACCGGAAAAGCTGAAAAAGTATGGATGGACTGTGCAAACGTACAGCAGGGCTTACCTGTTTGGAATGGTTGTCCACCATACTAGAGGAGTCATCCACAGCCAGGCAGATCTGGTAATCTCTTTTGCTGGGCTTGGTCCTCCTCAACCAGATCTTGTCCTTACGGAACTGACTGGCAATGTATGGGATCACTTTTCTCATGTTAAGGCGTTTTCCTGTGCGGTAATCACCTCTGGAGAATAGCAAATTGAAAACGATCGCACAAAAGATGACCAAGTGAAATGATTGAGACGGCTCCAATAGAAAGTTTTCCGTAGCTTGATGAAGACATTACACTTCATTTGTAAGATTCTGTCAAATTCTGCAATAAGTTATGGGCATACCAACCTGAGCTTTGCAGCTTGCGTGGGCTCCAAAATAAGGCGAAGCTGCTCGGACAGTTGTTGGGATAGTAGGTAGGTCATTGTCTTGTACTGGCGCCACATGTATGCTGCTGCACTCTCCTGGATTGCAAATCAGTTGAAGGTGATCAGTAATTCAAACTTAGTAACAGTTTCAAGGAACAGCGTGTCGACCCTGAAGAATTACCTGGATTTCTGCATAAAATGGTCCAAAAATATGATCTGATCTTGATCAAGTCACAACAATATACAAATGCAGTTTTAACTACCAAAACAACATTTATGTCACCATGTTCTTACGAAGCACAAAACACAGATCCAACTGTGCACACGAGAAAATGCATGTGAACCTTTGAACTTTATTACTGCCCGAGCCTGCTTTGGAAGCGCTGACCTCAACCAAATTTTTTGCCGTTCTTCCAAATCAGATCCGCATAATGGTCAGGAAGAATTTTGAACATTCCTCTCTCAATAAACGTTTCAGTTCCGTAATATTCTTGGGATGTCTGGTGTGAATCGGTCTCCTGGGGTCATACCAGAGCATCTCAATTGGTTGGGTCCATCACTCAAACAATTCTCCTGCAAATGCCGTGATAAACTTGAGATGATTTTTCTGTGAATGACAGCAAGGCATCCAGGCCCTAAGTCTGCATCACAGTCCTGTTTTTTTAAAAATTCGAATGTGTTAGCATATCTGCTTTACAGTTAAGAGCTGGGGGGGGTTGAAGCAATAAGGAGGCCACCAAATCAGACCCTTCCAACACCTTGACTGCACATAAAAAAAAAACAAACAAACAAACAAAAAAACCCCCGGTCCATTAAGGTTATAAACAGGTCTGTGACAATAATAATAATAATAAGAAGAAGAAGAAGAAGAAGTAATTGAGCACTGATCACATTAGCGATTTCTCACAATAATTATGAGACAGGTAAATATCAATTGGCCACACTTTATAAATATCTGCCAGTGTTCACATTTTGAAATGATGGCTTCTACAATATTCCTGGAGAGTCACAGTGTCTCATCACTGGTGAGCTATTTTTGGAATAAGCCCGCAGGCTACACATGTAGTCCTTGAGGGCTTCCAGGTGCCCGGGGGCACCACATTGGTGACCCCTGGCCAAGACTACATGATGAAGACATTGGTACACACCTCCTCCTGCGTTCCTGGAGTTAGTTTGTGCCACATTGACAACTGCAACTCCAGCTCCCTCCGGATGTCCTCTGGGTCTCTGTCGAACTTCTGAAAAAATGGGGACACACAAACATATGCCACTTTTTTCATTGGCCCCAAACAGCCCAACACCACACCACACCACTCCGCCTCTCTTGCTTTTTCTGTTACAACAGGCGCACCAAAACGTTTGGGCAGGATCAACTGTGCGGTGCAAGCTTGTGTCCTAGCATTTAACAATGGCAAGTTTTGGCCACTGTTTTGGGGGTGATTCAAAATATGAATTTTTTGTTGCATGATGGGGGGACGTAGTACAACCCATTAATATACACAGAAGCTTTCACATATCAAGGAGAAATCCATTTCCGAGGCAGCCATCAAGACAAAAATATAGTCTTCACATATTTTGTGTCTTAAAACAATACTGGACCATATTTACAATTTCACATGTATCATGGATGCAATAATGTGATCGTGATTTCTCGAGTGGCATGCAACGCTCGCTGACAGCGCTCATTCAACCTGAATGGAGAGCACCACTCTCATTCATGTCATTCATCTCTCTGAATCAACGGCTCGTCGTCGTCACTCTGCGGCATTAGAAGCCCTCCAAGCATTCGAACTGCTCGGCTCTGAAAAGGTCTAATGGAAAAGCGAACACCCGGGGCCTTGCGGTGTGGAGGGGTGCTCATGGAAAAGCGCGTATGCAGAAATATGACATCAAATTCACTATATAT